TGAGAGTATAAAAACTGAATAATTTTCTAAATAGGCTTCCAGTAGAGATAATTATATCATCATGTCTTTGCGTAGGTTTTACAGAGTATAAGAATTTAATAATATTCTAAATTGTTTTTTTTTTTAAGTAGAGAGATTCATATCATTATGTATATTAGGATCGTATCAGGTTTCGTACCGACCTTTTTTTACTTCTAAGTATAGCTTCTCAAGTGGTGTAGGTTATGTTATGCACCCTATACTACTCATAGGCGTACGGGCCGGGGGGGGCGAGGGGGGCTGCAGCCCCCCCAAATTTTGGGCAACTCAGTTTTTTGGGGCAGCAACAGAAAATTTGGGCAAAGCCTCCATGGTTTCTCCTTGGTTATTTGATTATTTTGAAGACCTGTATATTAACCTGAAGTCGGCGTAATAATCCAGTTACATTCACATGAGACAGTGGTAGCATCATAAGTAATTTATATATACCGTATTTATTCGAATAAGCGCCCAACCTCGAATTAGCGCCCACCTCGTATAAGCGCCCATCCTAAAGGCAGAAAAAGTTAATAAGCGCCCAGCCTCGAATAAGCGCCCACCCCTCCTCCTCAAAATCAAACTCAAATAAGCGCTTACCCCCACCCCACCCACTTTAGTGAACAAATTCTACTAAGAGACTTCCCCGAGAACGGAGTTTTCTTCAGAGTATTTTACAGAAACCTTGCTTTGTTACTTCTTCGCGTTTTGTTATTAGCTTTTTGTTGTTCTGTTGCAAAATAAACATACTTCACTTGCCGAAAATGGAGAAAATTTAATAAGCGCCCAGCCTCGAATAAGCGCCCACTCTCAAGGTCCAAAAATTTAATAAGCGCCCAGGGCGGTTAATCGAATAAATACGGTAATTGTAATTTTTTATTGTTGGGCACTGTACTGCACTGCACTAGCTGGCATGGTTTATTTCCAGTTTGTGAATTGATTAGAATAAACTTCGCATAACTTTCTAGAATCATCTCCACTCGAAGAACAGTGTATGGCAGATTGTATTAGCAATGGGTCTGACTAATTTTCAGTTTGAATTACGAGAAGAATCTGAATTCTTTTAAAGAATCTATCGTTAGGTTGAAAATTATTCGCTAATTTGGTAAAGTAGACCGAAATGTTTACCAAACGGCTAACAAGAGCGCCTTGATACATACTAATCAAATCCTTCTTTCTAGCAATCGATGCAGAGCTGTCTCTACGGTCTTTCACACACGTTTTTAAATAGATTAAAACTACTACGAGGTTAAATTGCATGTCAAAAGCGCTTCGTTTTCTACAGATAACGGCCAAACATCAAGATACTCCTTTTCTTACCGTATTTATTACGATGAAAACTTCACCCCAAAATATCTCGATAACGCTCTTACACATTTTGCTTAAACTTCACGAACATCGAGGCGACCATATTGGAGAAAAAAAGCTCCTTTGAATGATTTTGTAAGGTTCCCAATGCCGAGAATTATTGCTGAAGTAAAATAGGTAATGGCGTCATTTCGTTGCTGTGACAACTCCGATGTCATTGCAACCCTGATAATGACAAATTTTCATCTTAATACAACTGTGGTGGCAATTTTTCCAAATGCTTGTTTATGGCGACTTAGTTAATACTCAAACTTGGTATTGACCCTGAAAATAATTGTATCGAGCCACCTTCATATGCCAGTACGGCCTACGTTGTTGTAATACGGCCCTCCTTTCTTTCCCACTCTTTCGTAAAAATTTGGGCAACCTGCAAGATTTTTTTGGGCAATTGGTTTACCGCCCCCCCTGGCAAAAAATTTCCCGTACGCCTATGCTCATAATGTGGACAGCACTCCAAAGTTTTATACTGCGACATAATAATAATGATGATGATGATGGTGATGATTTATTGCAGAGTATCCAACAAAGTGAGGCTCTTCATCCACAATATCTACACTATAAATCTGCTCTAAAAAAAATTGTAAAGTAGAATTAAAAAATAAATTAAAAATAAATAAATAATAAATAAATAAAAAATAGAATATATACGTATTTACAATTGTGTTTGCTCCTTAAAGTTCCTTACATAAAAGGTGTCTCTTCGCAGAAGGAATTGCACTCAGTTATGTTTCTAATAGCTAAAGGGAGCTTATTAAAAATAGTTGCTGTCGAATGCTGAAATGTTCCTGATTCTCTCGGAATAGAAAGGACAGGCGCTATCGAAGATCTTAAGCTATAAATACTGACCATGTGTAAATTTAATTTAAGATGTTCAGGAAACGTTTCATCATATAGCGACTTACGAGCTAACTTAAGTGTATATTTAGTTCAACGTTCTCATTCACTGGAAGACAGTTCAACTTTAGAACGTCCTCCACTCTTGGGAACCTTCTTGTGACAAAACCAGGGCAAGCATTTTGTAGCCTTTGGAGGCGCTTCATGTGAAAAGCTGGAAGTGGGTGGAAAACAGAGCATTCATAGTTCACTTTAGAGAGGACTAAGCTCTCTGCCAGGTGTTTCCTCATGAAAAGGGGCTAGATTTTTAAGCCTGCGCAGTACTGACAGTGTCCCCTACGATGTAGTTGTTGAATGACTTTTCCGGAATCCTGATACTGTAGGACCGAGTAGCGCTTCCTCATTGATGTAAACAATGAGCTGGCTGAGCACCAAGCGCTCGAACACTTTAGATAGTGTCGGTAGAATCGAGACCGGACGGTAATCAACGTCAGACAAGGGTTCATCAACTTTAGGAATAAGGGAGATTTGTGTTCTCGTCCAGAGTCTGGGAAAAGTTGATGTTAAAATACATCCCTCACCCAAAGCCCTTCAAACATCCCTTTTCCCCGTTGAACTGAAAGGAACTCTTCCGCGGCATAAATAAGTCTTCTTATTCATATCATTTTTAATGACGTTGCGTTCTTGATTTGGTGAAAATTTAAACTGTCCAAGATTAAGTCCATTTAATCTACTCACAAAGTTAAACGTGAATGTTTACCTGCAGGTTAATTTCTTTTTTTTGTTTGTTTCTTGTTGCTGCTACTGGTGTTGCTGTTGTTTTGTTTCTGTTTTAGTTTCTTATGCTGAGAAAACTTCGTTAAGCTTGTGTTGAGCAAGCGGAGTGTGCTGGGGGATTACACACCTGAGTTGAACGAACAAAGTTCCCACTGCAATACCCGGATTATTCACGGGTTATGCTCTCTCGACTCTAACCCTCCCTCTAATTTCCTTGTGTTTTCTTAGTCGCGTTTCCTTATCGATCTTCTTCGTTCTTGTTTTCTCGCAGGATTTGTCATCTACTTGGTTATGGGATTAGACACAGCATGGAAGGAACCCGAAATGACAATGATTTCATCCCGCAAGGCACTCCAGATATCGCGGGGCAGGATGTAAAGAAAGTTCAACCCACGAACACCCCTGAAGACAAGAAACCTTTGTAATCAGGCAGTGAAGAACAGTAAAATGTCTAACGTAATTATTTTAATTAATCAGGGTCGGACAAATTAATGTAACATTTCAAAAATTTCTTTAAAATAATTTATGGGGTTCTTGACCCCGGCGAATTTTTATTTTTTTGCTTTTCTTTCGGCAAGGAAAGCAAAAGAAGATTTCTTTTTAGAGATCGTTTACAGTTATATACGTCGTGGTTACATTTTATCCTTGGTTTAAATTTTACGGTTTGTGGGTATTGTAGCGTATGATAATGTACGGATTTGAACCAAAGGAGAATAATCTATTTAACCAAGGATGAAATTAAATCAAAACATACAGAAGCACCACACCTTTCTTAGATTTTCCAGATGGAATTTTTCGCCCCATGAAGGGTGCTTGTGGACTCCGGAATCCAGGAAAATTTTGCGTATTGAATCTGAAATGCTGGACTTTGGAATCCGGAATACAGCTCAAGGAATCCGGAATCCCACTAACAAATTGGAATCCAGAATCCAAGTTCTACTGACAAAGACTGGAATTGAGTACCTGGAATCCGGAATCCACTCTGTGGAATCCAGAATCCAAGACTGTCTTGGATTCCCTCACATGCATAGAAATTTTTTACTTCACAAGCCGCATCAATCAATCCCTGAATTAGCCATATACAAGTTAAAAATGAAGTTGACTGTGTTGTTTGAGGTATGCCGTGTTCACTTTTTAAGTTCAAATTCATTTGTTAAGAAATTTATCCAGAGTTTTCGTTTAGAGTTTGCGCATCGCAAGAGCGCGTGTGGATTTATTAATGAGATTTGAATTGAGTTGTGCTGCAAAGTACTCTTACTATTTATTAATATTTTTATATCATCCAATAATGTCGCAGGGAACTGGCTAAAAGAAAAAATACTGACGACTCTCCTTTAAATACTTATTGATAATTTATTTCTAATGCGGTCAGTGTTTTGTTTAAATTAGAGCAAAACTTGAGTTTCGGTATACTTGATGTTGGCTCTTGCATAATTATATTTGCAGAAAATATAAAATATTTTATTTTACTACTGAGAAACGGTGACAAATAAGCCCTTTCACTACTAACAGTGGCCAAAGTGAAAAGTCCCGAAAAAATTCCAAATTTATTTTAGTAAAATCCTAAGAAATAAATACTTTTAGAACTATGTAATGGTTCTACTCTTTAATGTGAATGATAACACCTTACGATTTCATCTAATTTTCAAAAATTAGAATTATTAATAATTTGGCCATAACTCTGCATAACTAGACGGTCTGACTGTGGAAGTGCGAAATAGTTTCAAATAGTAACAAATTTCTCAGCTGGTTCTGAGAAGATCAGTTAATGTTGAGATCGCACCAACTTGCACCAAACAATAGAGTGTTTTCACTCAAGTGGCCAGCATCTATGCAAATTTATTGGAACAAAAGAAAGCGTTTACATAAGAAAAGAGTTCAATTCCCACGGGACTGGCTTGGGGACACAAACATGGCCGCCGTTTCATTGTTTTGGGGCACAAATATGGCCGCCATGACGTCATGTGAAAACACACAATAGGGAACTTAAACAGCAACAACGGCGACGGTTACGGCTACGAAAACGTAACTTAAAAAGTGAAGTCGCGCCTTCTCAGCTTTATCGTGTTTATTCCACCTCGTTTCAGTCTTCAAATGTCGGCAATTTTGTTTTTGGAGTTGAATTCTAAGGGACTGTATTCAAGTTCAGGAAAAGAAAAAGGAGGTTGTGGTCTTATGTTCCCGTCTTCGACATAACGTGAAATTAGGCTCTTTCACCTTGTAGTTGTGCAACGACTGCTAGGAAATGTACAAAAAAGCGTGATGCACGTGCATAGTTGTTTGTTTTGCTAATACTGATAAACTTATTGTTTTTTTGCCGTCCTCGTTGCCGTCGCCGTCGTTGTTGCTTAAAGGGCCAGGTTCACGGTTCAGCGCATGCTCATTTATCAAAATGCTGGTTTTCTGCTGGGACGGCATGCTGTATCGTCTATGCAAGCAATATGATCATGTCATAATGTTGTCAGAAAACCAATCTGCACAATCCCCTGGCAAGTTCATCAACTTAAATATTTGCAAATAGCTGTAAATTAATCAACCATGGAATAAAACCTTCGGGTCAACAATAAATTCAACGTTGGTTGTGTTGGCATAATCCACTAATTTTTTCTGCGATTTTAGTACTCCTCCATCTTACTTCAGGTTACTCTGAAACACAATTCTACTTTGAAATACACTCTGAGATCGCTGAGATACATGTGAGTGGACTATTAACCGATAGAATTAATAATAAATTGGAAAAAGGTAATTTAATTAATGAGCATGCGCTTAACCGTGAACCTGTCCCTTTAAGCTCCCTAATGTCGCGTTACTTCGGCCCTTTTATTTTGAAAATAACATTGGCTAGCCTCGCTTCTGGGAATAATACATGAGGTAAAATTAAGCCTTGACTTGTAGCTAACTTCTGTTCTGTTTTTATTTTTCTTTTCGAACGAGTGAGAAACGTACGTGCGGCACGTGTCATATGTGTTGAGGTCGAACCAATCAGTAACAGTAAATGTCAGAGGAACAGTCTGACGACTCCATCGTAATTTAATTTTAGTGGGATTATTTAAGTTTAGGGAAGTAATATTAAAAGATTATTGTATACCCGTATTGATGTCGAATTTGAGGGCATTTGAGAAGTAAATAAACTTGAACTAAAGAAGAAAACGAAAGTATGTTTATGTTTCAGGTGTTCTTATTCAACTGGCTTATCTGTCTCTCTTCGGATTAGCTCTTTGCCCATTTTTGGGAGACTAGGGGAAAAGGATAGAAACGCGCGGGGGACGATGGGAATGGGAAAGAAGAGCAATCACATCAAGGCCTCTCGCCTTCCCCCCCTTCCCCTCAAAAATACCTTTTTAGATTAAAGAAAACCACCCGTACAACTCTATACCATTTAAATGATCAGAAATTTCTTTTTTTTATTCATATGTAAATTAACCCTGAACAAAAGGGTCTAGCACAACAATGAACAAAGTAAAAGGAAACATTTTGTTAAAAAGTCTTTCCTTGGTTCCTGATGATCAGTACGGACTATTTTTCAAAATACAGGGTGTCCCAAAAGTTGGTTCCTCTAATTTCATGCGCTATAACTTTTGATGAAAACTTTATTTTTACATGAAATTTCTGAAGTATGTTTCTTACTCTATCGAGTACCTGTGTTCAGAAGTTCAGCTATCGGCATCCCCCTTTGTTTTTTTGTTTTTTTTAATCACATTCTGTAGCCGTTTCGGTATTAAGTGAGATAAGCAATGCAGCATGTAGAGCCCTAGATGATTCATTTGAGTTTTTTTATCACCTAGTATGCAGAAGTCACTTTGTCTCCAAACAATATAATTTTTTATATTAAAGGCAGCTAAAACAATGTATTTTGGGCATTGATCCAAGAAAAGATGATCATTCCATCCCCTTTCCACAGTAAGGCTTTTGTTCTTCTTTACAACTTTGAGACGAGCTGAACGTTGCCTGGCGGATGGCCCTGGCCGGGAGTAAAGGTTTTTTTTGCCATCTCAGGGGTCTCCAAACTTTGCTTTTCATGAACTTGCTAACTGTTGTAAGAGCTACCTCGTTGGGTTTCCTGTTTTGTACATGGCCTTCTCTAAAACTATTCTAGCGGTTTTATTCAGGACTTTCGGTCTTCCCCCTCGTTTCTTGTCTGTAAAACCTTCATTTCTCTATGACCATCTTACCACCCAACATTCGGATTTTTCCATTTTTTTAGGAATTTCTTTAACTGAAAAACCAGTAGATAGAAATACACGCTTCTGCTCGCATGTAGCTGAGTGTTTTTTTCGTTGAGAGGGTTTATCTTTCAGGATATTCACACGAAACAAGTTAGGAGTTCGAGCATTTCGGGCTACAAAATGCAAAAAATATATGGCCGGAAAATTTACTCGCGCAGCGCTCCTTTGGCGCGAAATTACACCAATCGAATTTGAGTGAAAAGATGGCACAAAAATTATGAAATATTAAATAGATTGAAAGTCACAAATTTCTTTTAAATTATGTGCTGATCAAGACCAATTGTACTGCGTTACAGACTTATAAAGTGGAGGAACAAACTGTTGGGACACCCTGTAGTTCTTGATGTTCACAAAAACATGAAAAACACACCTCCAAACTTTAAAACTCTGCAAGAAGAGCTAAAAATTATGAGTAGTCAGTGGGATCAGGCCTTCCTACGAGGCTAGAGGAGAGGAGATTTTAGATGGGAGTGGGGGAGGGTTAGAAGAGAAAGGAAGGGCGTTTCTCTCCTTTCGCTCTCTCCCTTTTCGCTTCTTTTTTCCCCCCCCGCTAGAAAGGCCTGACACTCAGGCTAGAGTTTATTCCCGTGACCCCGACCTTGTTTATATTACTCTATCGCCATTTTACGTGATGATCGGAGCCACGCGCGAAGGTCTACTGATCTAGCCGTTTGTTGAGGAAAGCCAGTACCTTCGTTTGTCGTTATTTAAGACCCTGAGTATTGGTCCGGTACGGGAAATCGAACCTGTGTCCGCCACTCTGGTACGCGTTGTATTGCGCAGCCATTTAGATACATAATTTTAAGGCTCAACCTCGTTCCCAGGGTTGTCTGTTTTGCTTCGAGAGTGAACCCTCGAAAACCGCGATAACCAAATCCTGTTTAGCGGGACATACCCGCTTCGGTCAAATAAGCAAGTGCCCCTCCCCGCACGGGAAGGTTGAAAGCTCGCAAAGAGTGGCGTGTTATTTCTAGGCGTCTTCAACGGTGTCACATCCGTCATTCCGACAGGGTTCCTAGGAGACGTGAGAGTTGAGACAGAATCCCCAACTAGCACTTTCGTGTTAAAAAAATTGACCAGGAGCCCTCCCTTATGAAATTGACATGTCTTTTTTCTTTAAGGTAAATGATTTATTATTTCACATTCTCAAGTCCATTATAATACGCCATTCCTCATTTTGTTTCACGAACATTCTGGGTCCAGTCCCAAACTCGGCTTATCTATAAGTGCTGCAAGGGTAGAGTTTTTGGTTTGTTTGTATTCCAGTGCAAGTCTGTTCTTCTGATCGGCGCAAGTAAAACATCAGAACAAGGTTAGTTCCCCATTCGCGTTCAATTTGGTTTGTGGGGATACAATCCTAAGGTGTCTGATAGCTTTATATTCTAAAACAATGCTATTACCCCAAAAAACAAAACAGATCAGGAGAACCCAGGATAACTTCCGCTTTCGATTTTATGATCAGATTATTTACTGGAGTATTGCAGTTTCTTTGACAAAAAAATGTAAAATCCTGGGCTCTCGTATTATACTTAGTATAAATTAAACATTGTTTTTCTGTCTAAGGTTAATTAAGTCTTTATTAATCCACTGATAGCGTCAGATCTTTGGCCTGTGTATCTACACTAAAGTGTTAATTTCGGGGATTTCCGTATCCCAGAATG